TATTGTATCCTGCAAAACTAGTGCAACTTCAAAAATTGACAACTATCTTCCGATTTGTGTCTTGACAGCAGTTGTTACTTCTTCTATTGGAGGAATCGCAATGCTAGTTCTCCTATTCCTCTACTTAAGAAAAAAATGCTCCTTCATTTTCTGGAAGAGGAAAGGAGAGGATTATCGAAATGTAAAAGCCTTTTTGAAGAGCCGTGGATCACTCGCGCTAAGGAAGTACAGTTATTCTGAAGTTAAAAAGATGACCGAGTATTTCAAAAACAAACTTGGTCAAGGAGGCTATGGTTCTGTGTATAAAGGAAAGTTGCATACCGGGAGTCTCGTGGCAGTCAAGGTCTTGAAAGAATCGAAGGGCGGGGGAGAAGAGTTTATCAATGAGGTAGCAAGTATCAGTAGGACTTCTCATATTAATATTGTATCACTTGTGGGATTTTGTTTTGAAGGTCAACACAGAGCTCTCATCTATGATTTCATGCCTAATGGATCCCTTGAGAAGTTCATTTACGATGCAAAATGTGGTACGAATCATCAACTAGGATGGCATACATTGTACAATATTTCACTTGGCATTGCTAGAGGATTGGAGTATTTGCATCGCGGTTGCAATACTAGAATCCTGCATTTCGATATAAAGCCTCATAACATTCTTCTTGATGAAGACTTTTGTCCAAAAATATCCGATTTTGGCCTTGCAAAACTATGTAACAATAAGGAAAGCGTTGTGTCTTTATTGGGCGCGAGAGGGACTATTGGCTATATTGCACCAGAAATTGTGTGTAAAAACATTGGAGGAGTTTCTCACAAGTCAGATGTGTACAGCTATGGTGTGATGGTCCTCGAGATGGTTGGAGGAAGGAAAAATGTTGACGAAGTTATTGATTGTACTAGTGAAATATACTTCCCACACTGGATTTACAAACAGATTGAACAGAAGAAAGAGCTTGGATTAACTGGTATTGTGGAGGAAGAGGATAAGAAACTTGCAGAAAAGATGATACTGGTGAGCCTGTGGTGCATCCAAACCGATCCGTCCAGCAGGCCTTCTATCAGTATGGTCATAGAGATGTTACAAGGTGAACTCGAATCTCTGCAAATGCCTCCGAAGCCTTTCTTGTATTCTTCTTCAGTGTCAGACAGTGACATGCCTACTACCACCTACATGATATCAAGACTCGAAAGATCAAGTTTGATGATCTAGACTTATCAAATTATGCATGTATTATTTTGAATTAATTAAGATATCATATAAACTACATTTGGCAAATTAGTTCATTGTTACTAAAATTATAAATCACTCTAAAGTGAATAGCACTTTGATATATGCGTTTTTCCAGTCGATCAGCTGTGGTTAGTCTTGTAGTGAACTGATGTCCAGCACCTCACCCTTGCTGCAGTTCTGTCCAATACAGACTTTGTGTTACCAAACGCGTAGATAAGCCAAGCCGTGCTTAAAAGCTTAGTCGGTATTGGCTTGAATAAAAGCATAATGATAAGACAATGGACTAGTAGTTTCAACAGCAAGTCTTAGAATTCAGACAGGCCAGGAAGTAACTTTGCTGCATTTTCATGAAATGTGATCAACTACTGTTCGTTCGGGGATGCACTCCTAAGCAACGAGGAATTCATCATGTATCCATAAATGTAATTATACATAATCAAAGACAAGTAAACCAAAAAACATGAAGTTGAAAGGAATCATTCGAGACATTGACCAGGCCACGAATGAAGCAGAAGTAAATATTTCCCTCTGCTGTAGAGAAGCCAATGAAATAACTGACTTCTTAGCTAAACATGTCTCTTCGAGTGGAAGTAGTACTTTCTATTATTCTTTTCATCAATTCACTAAAGAGGTGAAGGGACTTTCTACTAGATAAGTGACAACGATCCCTAGCATAACGAGAAGATACAACAGTTGAACCATTGTATTTTGCTTGTCGTATGAAAGTCTTATGTCATTTTAGCCTTACTGTAGATTTAGTTTGTCCTCGTTATTCTCTATCAGAGGTTAGTTCCATGTCCCCCTTTGCTTTCGTTTTACTTTTTGGATGTTTATAGACGTGATAGGGGTCAAGCCTAATACCACACACCGTTAAGGTGATGACTTTAACTAAAAAAAAAAAGATCTCTATTTGTCACACATCTCTGGATACAATTAGGTAGTGAACTCATAAACAATCAGAGAGCGAAAAAGAATGAGAAGAGAGTGAAGCATTAATATCGAAGAAATTTCACCCGCTAATACTAACTGTGGTAGAGCAACTAAACCACTTATCATTCACAGAATTCATCGAAACAGGTAATTTAGATTTCATCAATTGTGCATCATCATTTTCTGATTCAGGGTCCTGTGGGACTTCTACATTATCAACGACGTTAATCTCTTCTTTCTTCTGGTTTTCAAACTCACCATTCTGAATTGCCTTTAGAATCTCCAACACTTCATCCATTGTTGGTCTCATTTCCTTCTCGAGTTGAAGACATTGAAAAGCTAGCTCTGCAACTGAAGTAGTCATTCTCCTAACTTCAGCATTGGACTCGTAACCAAGAGATGGATCGATCAACTCCTCAAATGCACATTTCAAAATCTTGCTTAATGCAAAGTTAGCCAAACTAATTTCATCCCTATCCCTTCTTATATCCACAGCAAGGAGCGACGATATGAGCTCAATAAGGACAACTCCAAAGCTATACACATCACTTTTACTTGTTAGCTGATAGCAAGCATGATAATCCGGATCAACATATCCTGGCGTCCCCTGTGGAGCCGTTGAGATATGAGTCACATCATTTGGAAAAAGCCGCGAAAGCCCAAAATCTGCAACTTTGACACAGAAATTGTTGTCAAGTAGAATGTTACAAGTCTTGACATCGCGGTGTATTATGTCAGAAGCATGGAGATAAGCTAAAGCACTAGCAGTTTCTATGGCAATCTTCATGCGTATAGGCCATATAAGGGCTCCGTTCTTTGCTTTCTCGCCATGGAGATGATCAGCAACTGTTCCATTCGGGATGTACTCATAAACCAGGAGGAGTTCACGACTATGCCTTGACGTGCAACCATAGAGCATAACAAGATTCTGATGCCTTAAACGAGTAAGTATTTCAATCTCATTCTTAAATTGCACCATCCTCTTGGAACTTTGCTCATATAAGCGTTTAACTGCAACTTCTCGTCCATCACGAAGCTTACCTAATAAAAGAAGTACATTGTTAGCTTCTGAATCATGTTACCAAACCATAGCATTCTTAATACAGTAATGCAAAACTCTGCCTAATGCTTTTCCAAATATGATTCGAAATGTCATGACTTGATTTATGTGGCTTCTTACCATAGTATACAGTTCCAAAACCTCCGTCTCCAAGCTCTTGGGAGGGATCAAAGTTACTGGTGGCTTCTTCGAGAGTAGAGTAGGAGAAGACGGGGACCCCAAAGTACTTGCTATCCCCTTCATGGTCTTTTCTTGAAGGATCAGAAAATGTATTTCTTGCAAAAGAGTGAGAATGACCGCCTTTTCCTTTCTTGAAACGCCAGATAACAATACCGAGACAGATTAAAAAGGTCAAGCCAATCACCACAGGTAAGACTGAAGCAAATGCAGAGAAACTAATCAGAATTTGTTCGAAAAATGACTACAGAAAAGTAGATAGAATTCAACGAAAGCTGGCATTTCAAATTAAGGAACATGTGGTAATATGAAAAGGATTTGAAGTTATAGATTGTTACCTACAATTAGAACTCGTCTCGACTTTCTTGTTACTGCAACAAAACCAAATCACGAAAAAGTTTAGATAATTGTTGCACGCGGAGGAGGAACTGAGAGTTAAGTATGACAAGTTTATGCTGCTATACTAAATTCATAACAACATCAACATAAAGAAGCTACAGACATAAATTCTGCAGGCGATTTGTCCCCGGTTACTCAATGGAAACAAGCAGAATAATACATAAACAAATACTCAAACTTAGCCTCAGTTGACGAATAAGCACTCCAACTTTGAGTATGCACATCTAGACACCTCAACTCGTCTCCAAAATTTATATGCCATGTCAGCATCACACTAGGGACGAGTTGGAGTGTCCAATTGAGGTGTGTAGATGTTCACTCTCGAAGCTGGAGTACAAAACCTAGAAGCAACTATGTCGAAATAGAATTGAACAAATATCAGAGCATTGTATGTGATTAGGTAAAAATATTACCTCTGGAGCAATGAAATCTATTGCTGCTGTCGGTTAAACATCGACCTCCTTGATAGTAACATTTACTACAATCATCAGACAGACTCCACTGAATCACAAAATTCGCAGTTAAAAGATCAAACAAACCACTATTCTGATCATTTAACC